AGAGAGAGAGAGAGATTATTCCTTTTTTTCTTTCCCTGCCCTCCCTTTTCTTATGTGTTTCACTGTTTTGGCACTAGCAACATGGTGATATGTTTTCTGTCATGGAGAGTTCTGGAATATGTAATGTGGATCCTCACCAAGGTAATGGGATTGCTTTTGTAAATTTTTTTTTTATGTTGTAGCATCATTTTGTTATAAAGCACCCTATGGTAAAATTCCTCCTTTTCTGGTGTTCATTCTTGAATTACCATGCTGTAGTCATTGGCCAACCTTTTTTCTTTTGGGAAGCCTCAGTTCTACTGCCCAAGTCATTCATAATTTCGAACTCGCCACCTGTTTTTTTTTATCTTCACCCAACTTTCAAATGTCTTCCATTAGTGTCACAGCACTTTTAGATTTTTTTGTTCTTTTTTTAATTTGTTTCCCAAAAATCCACTTTTTACCTTCCCAAACCCCAACCATAGTCCTTCTCAAACCAGAACCCAAAATCTCAGCCTCCTCTTTCCTCCCGAGTCAATCTGGTTGAAAAATACTAGTTACTCTCTGGCTCTCTCTCCATACCCGAACTTGGAAGCTTCAAGTTGTGTCCGTGGAGAGGAGTTGTATAAAAATAAGCATATGATTGTTACCTTGTAGAGTGGCCTGTGATTTTGAGCTACAGTCTTATCTAGGACAAGGAATTGTAGAGAGAGAGGCCTGTGGATTTTGAGTAGAGGATAGAAAGAGCCGTTAATAAGGAAGTGGAGATGGAAACACCAAGGTCTTTTTGGTTGGATCTCTTTATCTCTCTCTCTCTCTCTCTCTTAAGTTCATTTATAGGTTTGGAGTAGATACTTATATCTTTAGGTTCCCAACCCAGATCATTTCAGTTTTGAAGGCCTTTTATTATTGAGTTTCTCTTTAATTACCATTCATAGGAAACTTGTCACCATGGCAGTTTAATGACCGTTGGATTTGGAATGTACCTACATAGTCGTGGATCGATGCTACCACCATTCTCCTTATTGGTTCCACCTTTAACCTTTTAGCCGTGTCCCTTTACCCTACATAGAAACCTTTTGCAATACCCAATGACCTTTGCTGCAGAATCTCTTCCACATTATAGATTCCCAAACTTGCTTGGTACTAAGGGAGCGAGGTTGTAATACAGTGCTAAAATAAAAATGTATTAGACATTCTTGTTGATTTATGTTTTCCTATTTCATCCTTAGTATATCAGGAGTATGCAATTAGTTTGATCTTTGCATTTATTTTGTTATGTTCGTATGTGTTTTTTTATTTTTTTTGGTATGATCTGTTCTTATATCTACTGCTTTTTTAAATTCATGTGAATTACTTTTGAAGTAATGGCAAATTAGCCATTTGGTTGTTATTCCAGGAATGTTGGCCTATAAAGGGGCAATTATCAACTTCGATGGTACTGTGTTTTAATTAACTGTTCATTAGTCTAAAAATGCTTTAATGTCTCTGCAGGTTCTCCAACAAGTGATTCCCCTTCAAAATCATTAATTTCATCCAATCTGCTGGTTTAAGTTGAAATCTCCGAAAAAATGCCATAAAATTGCTCAAAATTTCTCCTTGTAATTCAGATCAACCTGCTATTTTTTTGACTCCTTCCACAACTTTAAGAATCTGCCAAAATCTATGAGAAAAATCGTCACCGAAAGTTCCTTAAAGGTTACACTTCAAGTAACCTTTTTCAAAGTTTCAACACAATTTAGGGCTTTTTCTAACCTGAGGAAGGCTCGGGCTTTTATGCTTCATCTTCTGAACTAGAAGAATTGCAAGCAAGTTGGAGGCATTTGAACCAGAAGAACCATTGGCTTTCTAAACCAGAAGACACATTTCGGTTTCCAAACAGAAGAAGCTTTAGTAGTTAAAGCTCTGAGTGAGGAGCAGCGCTTCTGAGCCAGAAGCTTTTGGCCTTCAGAACCGGAAGAAGCTCTAGAGATTAGTGTTCACAGCTAGAAGAATCTCGATCGATTGGGGCATGCGATGTGTTGAAGCTCCATTACTTCAACGGAAGGCGCTAGGGCACCAAACCAAAAGAATCCCTTCATCTCAAAGCAAGAGAGGAAGCTCTATTAGGCTTCGGAGCCATCATCATCATTATTCACCATGTCTAAGTGCTTCAGCTTCACAGCCTCACGAAACCAGTGCTATCGTTACACATTTGTGAACGCAGGCATGCAATCGCGCACCGTAGATCTTGGGGATGGGACTATAATGCATTGTTGGGTCCCCAAAAACCCTAATAATAACCATAGCAGTAACACTAATAGATCTAAACCCTCATTGGTCCTTCTTCATGGGTTTGGGGCAAATGCAATGTGGCAATGGAGTGAGCACCTGCGCCCTTTGATGGCTCACTTTGATGTCTATGTGCCTGACCTTGTCTTTTTTGGTGAGAGCTACACTACTGGGACGGAACGCAATGAGCAATTCCAAGTAAGTTCCAAAATTCTGTTACATGTCATAACAGGCGCTGATTTTGAAACTTGATATAGCTAATGTTAAATAAGGTTTTGAAACCTGATAAATAATGGGTACAATAGCTGTTATGATGGGAAAGGCACCTTCCATTATTTTTGTATGGCTGGGCAAAATACTGTACCTGTGTAAGACATTTGTTGAACGAATAACATGATTTTTAAATAGTGCCTGTTGTATAATGTTGTGGTAATTTTTACAATGGTTTTGAAAGTTGGGAAAACAGGTTTGTCCTTATGACTCTCATTAGGTTCATTATTTTGAAAATTATGCTTATATCTGTTACATGGGACATTTGCATCATTGTTTATCTTTTCCTTTTTGCCTGTTGATGTAGTTTACGGCAATAAAATTTTTTGAAGCTAGCCATTTTTTTAATAAAATGTATGCCACTTGCAGTAAGGGGTGTTTTATACTTCCTACCCCAATATCCATGATTTTCACATTTTTGAACTTCAATATATCGATGATTTTCACATTTTTTGGACCTTAATTCCAGGCTCGATGTGTGGGTCACTTGATGAGCTCATTGGGTGTGACTCGATTCAGTCTAATAGGTATCAGTTATGGTGGGTTTGTGGCTTATTGGGTTGCAAGCATGAGTTTGGTGACTGTGGAGAAATTGGTGCTTTGTTGTGCTGGTGTTTGTTTGGAGGAGAAGGATTTGGTGGAGGGATTTTTTAGGGTTAATGATTTGGAGGAGGCCACAAGCATTTTGTTGCCACAAACACCAGAGAAGCTTAGGGAGTTAGTGAGAATGTCTTTCTACAGGCCAAAGGTCATGCCATCATGCTTCCTCAGTGACTTCATTGATGTAATTCTCTTATACTCTCTTAATAATGCAATGGTTCTTGCTTTTTCCATGTTTTTTGTTTTCATCTTCTCTTTTTGTCGGGTCTTGCTTTGTGGTTTTTTTTCTGTTAGATCTCTTTTCCTATTGCATAGCTGTTTATGTTTCCCCTTAGGCTTTCCTTTTTCCTTTTTCCTTTTTCCTTTTTCTTTTGGTTCATGCTTATGTTACCATACTCTATTAGATTACTTTAATTTTACCCTTTTTTTATTTCTCTCTTTCTCTCTCTCTTTCTAATGTGTTTACTCGCCATCTGGGATTAATTTTAAAATTTCTTTTAGTTTCACAATTGAAGCTTCTCACCATTTTGAAATTTTGAACAAATTGTTATATTTTAAAAAGTTTTTTCCGCTGTGTCTGTTTTAAAAGAAAATTTAACTATGCTATCTGGGGCTACATATTGCGTGTCTACTAAGGAGAACCAGTTCAATGTTAGTTGAATAGTATAGTATAAAGAAATTGTTCATGCATAGTCAAGTAAAAGTATAGGATAAGACCTTTATCCTTGGTAAAGGATGTCACAATTACCAGTGGCCACTATATTTAAAATTGGATACTTGGTGATGTGCCATTGATCAAGCTCAAGGTTCAAAAGAAAATATCTCGATCTTTACAATGCATTCTAAACTTCAGGATTTGACATTTGATGGTTTACAATGATTGTGAATGGTCTTATTGTATACAAACCCAACAGTTAAATATCTGAAGTCATACTACTTTATCCCTTTTTTGGTTATTATCGTAAAAGAAAAAGGAGTAAATAGTTAAATGTCCTTATCTTGATTGAAATGCCCTCGAACCACACATTTGTATGTGGTTGGTTGAGAGGAAAAACAGGGCCAATTTCAATAAATTTAAGAAAATTTTCTATAAACATTTTAAACCAGCTCAATTTTTTTGAAATTGTTAACTTTCTAGAAAGAGAAGAAGTATACAATGTACACAAAATAGGCAGCCCACAGTTTGGGTGCTCTATGTGACACAAAAGGGTGCTCTACATGATAGAGTGAGCTAAAACCCAAAAAAAAAAAATGGTTTGATGTTACAGTTGATATGTGGGGTTCAAGGCTGACGTAGAAATGGAGGGAAGCTCTATATTACAAGCTAGATTGAGGCTTACCTTTGTTTCAATTAAATGTGCACAACCCTGATACTAGCACCACACATCAAACCCCGGCCCCCCTCTTCCCAAACGCACACACACACACAAAAGAAGAAGAAGAAGAGAACAACACCCACCCTTATTGCATATGAATCTACGTGGCTAGGGCAAGGCCCTTGCTCCATAGTCCCCTAACTTCACTTATCTCTCTCTCTCAATGATTAACTCCTCATGCCTTTGTTAATTTCACCATCAATTTTGACCATGCAAGACACCACTTCCTGAAACCCCATCAGCATCTGTAATAGCCCCTAGGACCTGGGATCTGATGTGATGAGGGCCCGTTTCCACTCCCACCATAGAGATAACCAGGCCACACTTTCTTCCTTCTCGCCCTCTATGCCTTCTTTTGTTCCCTTCTCTTCCTCTTTGACTTCACCGTCCTCCGATCTGATCCCAACAGTTCCCATTCAAGAACCCACATTCTTTCTTCCTCTTCAAAACCTACTCTTCGCCTTTGTCTTCCTCTTCCTCAATTTCCTAACAAAACCCATAAAAAGAACTTCCCATTTATCCTATCCTTGCACGCTTTCAAGAACAAGAGCAACCTTCGTGGTGGCTGCTCCCCTACATCTACATCCACAAATTCCCCTCTCAATTCAATGACAGTATGCAAAAATAGAGGGAAGTGAGGGAAAAATACAGGGAATGAGAAGAGAGAGAAAGGAGGATAGAGAGAGAAATACAAAGAGGCAATGGAGAGAAGCACTTCGGTTTTACTTCTTCCACGGTTTCTCTACCTCTTCTGTTTGAGAACTTTGTGGTTTCTTTGAAGTAGGGAAGGAGAGCTTGGGCTGCCTGGAACAAATGGGCCCCAACAAACAAGGGCAAAGTATATATTCTATAAAGTGAAAAGCACCGTTTTGAAAGGGTTGAGTTTATATGGTAATCCATAAAAGGGTATATCATAAATAAATTTCTAAGAGACATTACCAAAGAACAAATAGATCCTTATAATGCGTATTTTCATCGTCACAGTGAATTAGTAGCAATAAAAGGTGCAGGCCCTAAGCATGGGATGGTTGATCCTCTGATTGTTTGTAATTACTCAGGGCTGGTCAAATGGCCTATGTCAAATAGAAGAAATTGTTCCCACCAAAAAGTTTGCAATATATAAGACATTTCTTGCCAAAATAAATGTATGCGATTTTTTTTAAAAATATTTTATTTTGATGCTTTGAATGAATGCAGCCACTAATAAGTTGGTGACCAACTACATTTATGTGAATCTAGAGGATGGTCATAGTCTTATTATGATAATATTGAAAAAACATAAGACCGTTAGGGCTAATGAACCAATACATTGGTAGGTTAAGTACCTGCCAAATGATACATTATTCTTTTTCCTTTTAAGTGGTATTGGGTTTGCTTTTGCAGGTCATGTGTACGGAGCAGATTCAAGAGAAGAAAGAGCTCATAGAAGCCTTAATCACTGGTAGAAAGCTTTCTAATCTCCCCAAGATCACCCAGGTAATTACCTTGTTCTGAATTGTTTGGTTTTTATTTCCTAGTTTTCCTATTGATTTTATTTTGTCCCTTTAAGTTGGGGTTTGGGTGAAATATTTGTTTACTAGTAAAAATTTGTATAGTTTGTCCCTTTTTAGGTATTTCTATGAGCCTGTATGATATAATCCGTACTGTCATGATTACAACATGACCTAGGGGTTATCACCTAAATATGTCGGCAATTCATTCGTGCATCCAACTGCCGTCCCTTATGTTACTCTCCAACCCATTTTGGATGGTGATAATTCGCATGGTTTTATTGTTATCCTGGGTCATGACCATGTGGATCACACTATGTTTTTCCTAATTTTATATGATAATTTGCATGCCATGTGGAGTTAAGGACCCCTATATGATTCTTGTGACTTTACATAGTGACTGGTTTCTAGTTGGATTTATATTTTCTAGAACTTTAACGGACCCTCTTACCACACCTTTTGTCTAAGACCATGACCAAATTACCTCTGCTCTTTAATCTGAAATTACCCAAGGATTCCTGAGCCCCCTTTTATTAAGGTGCATCTCTTCTCTCTCTCTCTCTCTCTATCTCTATATATATATATATATATATATATATATATATAAT